TGTTTCATAAGTAGATCTCACTCATGGTGCCTCTGTGTGTCAGAGTAGAACTGTGCTCACAGGGTTCTCAGTGGATGATGTTTCATAAGTAGATCCCACTCATGGTGCCCCTGTGTGTGTCAGAGTAGAACTGTGCTCACAGGGTTCTCAGTGGATGATTTTTTATAAGTACATCCCACTCATGGCGCCCCCGTGTGTCAGAGTAGAACTGTACCCAACGGGTTTTCCAATAACTGAGCTTTGGAAGTTGCTTACCAGGCTTTTCTTCCGAAGCACCTCTGGGTGGACTTGGAACCTTTAATGTTTCGATGCTGCTGAATGTATCCACCCACATTACAGAACCACAGACTTGATGTTTTATGATCATGTCACCTGGTCACACCGCCAACTTCTGTTCAGTCATTCATCACACGCTCGTCACATCTCAGTCCAGCCCACTTCGATGGTCAACTATTATTGCTGTCTTACTTTAGTGGCACAGTGGGTTAAATGAGCCAAAAAGTCTGTGGTTCAAAGCCACCAGCCACTCATTGGGATACAGCGTCCATAAATATGTAAAAGTCTCGGAACCTCTATAGAGCAGTTCTCCCCTTTCCTATAGGGTCGCTAGAGTCCAAATCAACTCGACCGTAGAGGATTTGGTTTGGTTTTTATTCTTGGTGAAAAATATACATCAAACCATGCCCCCTTGGGTATCTAAAATACAGCTATTGGTTTCTCTGTGTCTGGAGTAATGAAGTGTGGTAAAACTCAACGACCCTTGGGAACAAGTAATCTAATGGACTGTGTGAGCACCCGACCCCATGACCCCAAGGCAAGAAGGAGATGGTGCCCAGCTACCACTATTAAGCGCTCTGGAAAGGATCCTATTAGAAGGTTCCAGAGAGAATGGAAAACGGGTGTGGCCATGTAGCAGAAGCACGGGACTTTGAACTACAAGACTGGCAGTTCAAAGTCATCACCTGCTCCTCTGTGAGTCAGAATGGACTCTACCACACTTAACAACCGATAGAATGGAAGAATAATGCGGAACAAAACTCAAAATCATAAAAACAAAAAACAGGGACCACCGACAAAGCCCCTGAGACGATATCCGTCTTCATCCTCAGGTCTCAAAATAATTCCGTTTTCAGCCAACCAATGTTGTTGTTGTTGTTAGGTGCCATCAAGTCAGTACCAATCCATAGCAAGCGACTCTATGCACAGCAGAACGAAACACTGCCCGGTCCTGGGCCAACCTCACTGCTGTTGTCACGCTTGAGTCCATCGATGCTGCCACTTGGCCAGTCCATCTCGTTGGGGGTCTTCCTCTTTTTCTCTGACCCTCCACCTTACCAAACATGATATCCTTCTCCAGTGACT